ACCGTTTATGTGCCATCTAGTACATACTTGTCTGGGTTGGAACGCTGATAAATTCTATCGACCCATAAGCAAATTACGGAATCAGCATTTTGTTAACCTTATTCGGCAGAAAAATTGGAACCGACGCTGAAAAATGGTCACACAGTACACTGGTGTGGAAATTTCACTCGATGCGTTAGACGGTCAGCGTCGTCGTCAAACTCGTCGGCGGAGAGGAAACGATGGCGTCTTCATGCATCTGTCTAGGAGTAGCGATCGATCTAAAACCTCGGGTGTAAAGTACATTGTTCAAAATCTTGTTGATCTGATGAGACCCACTGGTATACATCATGAGTACTTATTTTCCACAGGCTTGTTGAATGCAGCGCACACAAGACAGAAAATAGGAGTGAAGCAAATTGTGGAAGTTCTCAGAATCGTTTCGCGTTTAGTAGTCGTTTCATCATCATTACCACTTCACTTGTGAGCCTCTGCAGAATTTCCGCTGATATAGTTGACTTCCGTGCCCAGGATTCAGACAGGCTCAGTGTTGTTTGAAAACTTCATCGAGCTCTTTTATCAGGTTTCATCAGGCGGACAACGTTCATGCCCTTATCTGCACCGACCTGTTCGATTTGTTTTATTGAACTACGTCCTTCTGATTTAAGATCTTTGCAAACGATTCCTGGATTTGACATTCATGCTTTCAGCAGAGATTTGAACAAATCTTCAAGTCGAGCTTTAAAGATTCACGACTAATCATGAGGTCGTCTGGAGTACAAGGACCACAGCTGTTCGGATCGATTTTTGTGATTTAAATACACCCTGTGAATCATGTATTCACTTCTACAACTGCGAGAGTATCTGTATGTTCGTTGAATGACCTCGCTTTGAAAAGCACTTGAATCCAAGGGCCTGGGGTTTGCAGCCCCTTGCAGATGTGGAATCTGTCAGATTAGGACCACAGTGTACGGATCGATTTTTGTGATTTAAATACATCCTGTGAATCATGTATTCACTTCTATACCTGCGAGAGTATCTGTATGTTCGTTGAATGACCTCGCTTTGAAAAGCACTTGAATCCAAGGGCCTGGGGTTTGCAGCCCCTTGCAGATGTGGAATCTGTCAGATTTTTCTGCAAACATCTTGCTTAATCAGCCTGCTAACCGACCATATTCCGAAAGCGCAGGAGTGAATATCGCTCAATCCGATCAGGTCACCTGCGTGTTATG